AAAGGAGGGGAGGTCTCCTGAAGGAGGGGAGCGCCTTCCTGCCCCCCGGCAGCAGCCCGCGGTGGCAGGGCAGCCGGGCCATGGCCCCTGGCTGCGGCACGTCGTGCTCCAGGAGGCTCCCGATCTTCAGGGCGGGCTGCAGAGCCCGGAGGGCGTCCAGGTCCTGCAGCAGGGCCTGGCTGAAGCCGTCCGTGCTCAGCCTGGGCGTGGAGGAGGCAGGAGAAGAGGAGAAGGTGCTGGAGCTTGTTGGGAGGGACGTGCTGACCCACTCCGGACGCCGCTGCGGCCCTGCCTGTCCCGCAGCCTCGGCTGCCCGGCTCGGGAATGCCGGGCACGGAAGGGAAGGTGGCAGGGCCCTCACTCGGCCCCGGCTCCGCAGCGGGCAGGCGGGATGCCGGAGCTGCTGGCAGAGCTGCAGGACGCCGTGGGCTCCCAGCTCGTTGTCACTCGGGCCCGGGCAGGTGAGACGGGGCCCCTGCAGCAGCCGCGCAGCCAGGGCTGGGCAGGAGGCGCCCGACAGCCGGCAGCTGCCCAGCCTGCGGGAGCGAGGGAAACAGGGAAGAAGGGCTTTGGCCTCGGCTCGCTCGGCTGCTCCAGGTGGGAAGGAGAAAGCTCTGGATAGGTAGGAAGGAGCATTGGCCCATCCTGCAGCCTCTTTACCGCAATGTCTGTAGTGGGCAGGCACAGTGCTGGAGCCCCTCACAGAGCAGCTCCACGCCGGTGTCGCGCAGATCCTCGCTGAAGGACAAATCCAGCTCCTCCAGGCAGGTGTTAGTACCCAGCACAGCAGCGAGGTCCTCACAGCTGGCACTGGTGATGCGGGAATACCGCAGCCTGATGGGGAACCCCCGGGAAAACCCTCAGAGACTCCTGAGTGCCTTCACTGCCATCCCACCATGGTGACAGTCTCCACCCTTGTGCCACAACCTTGGCGCTCCTTGCCTTGGAAATGTGGGACAGAGGCACGATGCCACCCCAGGGGACCCTTTGGCATGCCTCCCGAGCTCTCAGGTCTTAGATGCCTGGGAGATTCTGGAGGTGCTCACCGCAGGATGCGCAGGCGGCTGCCCGGAGTCCGCAGCCCCTCACAGAGGAGGCGCACGCCACTGTCACCCAGAGAGCTGTCAGCCACCTCCAGGTGGGCCAGTCCCGGGTTCTCCGCCAGCAGCGCTGCCAGCTCCGCACAGCAGCTCTCAGACAGCCGGCACCACTGCAGCCTGCGGGAGAGCACGGAGAATGGGGGTCAACACACCTCACCTGTCCTGGCTGCTCACCTGCCCACCAAACCTGAGGGACAACACCCACCCTCAGGTACAGAGGGTCTGACCTCTTACTGGCTGCTTGCCATTGTGCCTGGAGAGCAGCAGGGCAGCACCAATCCTCTCGCCCCCTGCACTGTGGTTCAGGTGTGCCCACCCGCACCCCGGATCCCAGCCCCGGTTTGGGCTCTATGTGTGTCTCTCACCGGAGCACCTGCAGGGCGCTGTCCCGGTGCCGCAGAGCCCGGCAGAGCAGGTGGATGGGGCAGGGCATCTCCTCTCGCCGCCGCACGACGAGGGCACCGGGATGTCCTCCGCCTCCTGAGACTCCAGAGCTGCAGGGTGACAGAGCCACAGGGCACGCGCAGCTCTCAGTGGTGCTGGCAGCTCCCGGTTCTGACACCAGCACACAACCCCCCCACCCCGAGCAGAGCCTCCAGCTCCTCTGGAGGGACCTTTGTGGCTTTGGAGGTGGGAAGGACCTCGAGCATTGCTGCTGGAGCCACCGGGGGAGATATAAAGTAAGTCATGGGGTGCACTTAACATTCCAGCACCAGGGATCTCCCTTTGTGAGGGAGAAGGGTGACACGGGAAGCCAGAGTGACAGCTGGGCACAGGCGGGCCTGGCTAGGTCGAGCCAAGAACTCCACCACCACCAATCCCACAGTGGGCAGCGGATGGAGGAGCACATGTGTTCCTTATTCTCCCCAGGAATAAGTAAATTCTCCACTGAGGAGCCAAACATCCAGGGAAAGGCCAAGCTGGTGTTCGGTGGGGAGGAGATGAATCATCCTTTGGGGCAGAGAAAGAAATCTTTTGCAGCTCTGGGTCATTAAAGCAAAGAGGAGAAGGACTTACCAAGGCACTGATGCATCCAGCTCTGCCTCAGGATCCTGCCAGTGGAAGAAGCATCCCTGGAGAGTGATGGAGCCCAGCCCAGCCCAGTGTTGGATGCAGAAGTAAAGAGCCATCTGGTCGTACAGGGTCAGCTTGGTGTCGTGCAAGTCCAGGTCAGTGAAGTGACCCAATGCACTTTGTGCAAAGCTCTTCTCGTTCATCTCAAACAAGAAGTGGAAAGTGTCCATCTCTGAAATCTTCAGTGCTTGGCTAGGGTGGGAGAGGCCTCTGTGCCTCCCCTGAAGCCACTCCAGCAGCTCTTCCCTGACTCGTGGTGAAATTCTGCACCCAAAGGTCTTGTCCATGTACTCCATGGATTTCTGGCTGACCAGACCAAAGAGGAATTGCACTATTACATTCAAATCCTTTCTGGACTTGTAGCTTTCTAACAATTTATTTACATCCTTCTCAAGCTTCCCCGAGCTGCTGACTGTTTCCCCATCATCCTCCAGAACATAAAACAGTGCTGCAAAAAACTCCTGGAGGTGCAGGTGGGTGAAGGCATAGACACTCCCATTGTCTTCTCCTTTTCTTGGGATCCTTTCATTGAGGAAGTAGGGGAGAAGACCTGGCTGGTCCAAGCCATAGTCCTTGATTTCCTTCTCCTCAAAGAGCACCTTGTGCTTCCAGATACCCTCAGCAGCCAAGGAGCAAAGCTGGAGTAGGAACTGCTGGAGGACCTGTGGGTTGTCCCTGCCCCTGTGCTTCAGTAACTGGGAGAGGTAGAACACTGTCATCCCTGTGGTGGCTTTGGAGCACTCAAGGAGGTTTTTCTTCCCACAAAGCTCTTGTTCAAGGATGGTGCAGATGGTCCAGCTCATGATAGGGATGACACACAAGCTATAGAGGATCTCGTTGCCTCTGACAAACCTGAAGGCCACATCTGCTTTGCTGGGGTTCTCAAAATATCGGTGGAAATACTCCTTCCTCCTGGCTGCTGAAAATCCCTGTATCTCCATGTAATACTCACCCTTCAGGCACTGCCTCAGGCTTCCAAGCGCCGTTGGCCTCATGGTGATGAGCAAAGAGGCTTTGGGGAGCACAGTCTTTTTCAATAAGCTCATGAAGGTGAGCTCCAGTGGCTTCACTTCCCTAGGATCAGAGCTCAGCTCAGCTTCGGGCTGAACCAAGGAAAAGCCCAGGGCCTCGAAACCATCAAAAATGAACAGGATCTTCTTCTGGTCATCCAGGATCTTGCCAGTTGCCATTTGCATATCAGGACAGCATTGTGAAACCAGGTCTGCCACGCTGGCTTCCATGGGAAGGGCGATGGCTTTGCAGTCAATGCAGAAGACAAAGTCAAACTGTGTGTGGAGTGTCCCTTCTCCCCACTCCACCATCACCTTCCTGACCATCATTGTCTTCCCCATCCCTGGGGCTCCCACCAGCACCACGACCTGCGGGGTTTGCCCGTCTCCGCCGGGTTCAAACAGCGCGGTGGTGGCGGCGGCTCCTCCGCTGCCGGCGCTGGCACATCCCTGGCCGGTTCCCACGGCTCCATCCTTGGCTCCGTGCTTGCTCCAAGGCTCCCTGATGATGGTCAGCGGGGTGAAGCGGCTGTGGAAGGACAGGCTCTCCCTGGGACAGGCACCCAGCTCCCTGTCCTGGCGGGACTCCCAGCCCATGTGCTCTCTGCTGTCCCACCTGTGCTCTGTGCCGAGAGGAGCAGGATCAGTCCCCAGCCCAGACATTCCCCACCAGCCCACCTGTGCTTCCAGCACACCAGCAGCTGCTTATTTCAATGCTCAGTTCTTTCCTAAGACTGGCTGGGGCACTAGGGACACAATTTGTGAGGATTTGGGGACTCTGGTAGGTTGGGCATTCTCCTTCCAGGTCCTGATCCTGATCTATCAACCCTTGTTTTATCATCCTCATCCACCTGGGAGCAAATGCAACTGCCTGGGGCTGCCTGCAGCTTCTGACTCAGAGGACATAGGGGCTGTCAGCTTCCAGGGGACAAAGGCACTGTCCTTGGGCTCCTGAGCACAGATCTCCGGAGAGATATCCTTAATCCCCACCCCAGGAGGAAAGAATATGCCAAGCTGGCTGCCAGAGCACTGGGTGAGCTTTAAGGTCACTTCCAATTCAAACCATTCTGTGATTTTAAACAATGCATTTATCGAGGAATTACAAGCCCATGTCATTCACAGCAAGGAGGAGCTGCCTGGACAGAGCTGGTGACCCTGACCCCAGAACAACTTCAACAAGGAGTGCCCAGGACTGAACTCAAGCCCATGCCAGCTGGTGGGGAGGCTTCAGGTGAGGCTGCTCAGCAGTCCAGGCTATTAATAGTATCCCAGGGGGAGCAGGGCTTGGATTTTCACTGCAAGGACTTCCTGCTGCCAGGGAAACCCACCTTGGCTGCTGCAGCAAGTCATTCCACTGTGAGAAATGTCCTTCATCCTGCTGTCCCGGGAGTTTGAGGTACGGACAAACGGTGCTGCCTGAAGGGCCACAGGGTTTTGCTGCTGCGTGGCCTTTTCCCCCCCTCTCCAGCCGTGGGTGGGTTGTAATTGGAGCTCTAGGGAGGAAGAGAGGCTCCTTTAGGATCTTTGGATGCTCAGGGATGAAAGGGGTGTGACCTGTGCTGTGACCTGCTCTCCTGGTTTGCCTACTCCAGTTTATGAACAGGGTACCTCTGTCTGGATTAGGAGGGGGTGACCCTCTTGCTGACTTTATTTTCTGTGAATGATGATTTTCTTTCCATTATGGAAAAAAGAAAGCTTCAGGATGATGTGTTTAGTAAAGCAGCCTGTGAAGGATACTGGAGAAGGGGGAAAGGATGTTTTAAGGCACATTGGGAGTTTAAGGACTCCTTATGGACTTCTTATTTCCCTGCTCAGAGCCAGATATCACACTGTCCCTCCTGCTTACAGGATGTCAAATAATTCTGGTGACAACTGTTTATCTCTAAAGGAAATCGTCTCGAGCGTGTCAGGGGAGATTTAGACTGAATATTGGGGAAGATTTCTTCACTGAAAGGGTTGTCCAGTCCTGGTACAGCTGCCCAGGGCAGTGGTGGAGTCCCCATCCCGGGAGGGATTTAAAAGCCATGTGGATGTGGCACTTGGGGAGTGGGATAGTAATGGCCTTAGGCAGTGCTGGGGAATGTTTGATCCTGATAACCTCAGAGGGTTCCAACAATTCCATGAGTCTATGTTCATTCCCATGGATGCTGCTGCCACCAACATTCCCCTGTGGGTTTTGCAGGCAGGAGCTCCCCAGGAGCCAGGGCTGTCCTTATCCCTGCTAACTCCTCCTGGGAGGTGCTGTGAGCTGAGGGGGAGGGGGCAATTCCAGCAGCACCGTTTCTAAAGGTTTCCCACTCCTTCTGACCTTGAAAAAGCCATTTTCACCTTGCTGTGTCTCAGCCAGGGTTGCTGCTTGCTGTGCCTGCACTGTGTTAGGGGGGATGTGACTCTGCCACGGGGAGATGGGGGAAGTGTATTGTTTTTACAGCTTTTCCTTCGCTTCCCTTTTCCTACCTCAGTAAAAAAAAAAAGTTTACATTCAGAATTTAAATATAACATGAATCCCGGTCCAAGGCATGTGAGAGCATCACGTGGGGCTGTTTATCTCCTAAGGCAGAGGCAGAGTGTGTGAACATAAGGAAACCACTGCCAGAACCCCTCATCCAGGCTCTGGGGACAAGACCCTGAGGTTTCCACTTGCAGGAGGCTCCCTCCCTCCTCCTGCCACCTTGAGGATATTCCTGCCTGATACAGAAATAGCAAAGAGATTTCGCTAGGGAAGTGGCAGCTTGGGAGTGTCACCTGCATTAAACTGTGGATTTCCACCAGCTTTGCAGGAATTCAGCCCCTCTGCTGCTGTCATTAGATCAGCAGATCTGGGAGGCGTTAGGAAGGGGAAGCAGCTGCTTGGAGCCATGGAAAGGTCCTGGCTGTGCCTGGCACAAGTCTCTGAAAGAGCAGGGAGTGCTGGCACTGCTGGGACCAGACAGGGAACAGAGGGAACATCAGCATCAGCCACAGCTAATCCTGTCTGTGCCAGCCTGTCTGAGCCAAGCTGGCTCCTGGAGCCAAGCATTATAGAAGAAATAACCTTGCTCATCCCTGCCTCGAGAGGCTGTGGGTAGATACATCCCAAAGCAGCCCCTGGAAGCACAGCATGTTCTGGGAGATTTGGGTTCTTGCCTCCAGCCCCTCACTCTGCAGCTCTCTTCAAACACAGGCAGGATTTTTCTTTGCAGTGGGATTTAAACAACCTGTGTATTTTTTTAGACATGACATGCACCTGGCTGGGCACTGGTGGGTGGTTGGTGGGTCCTGAGTAGCTGATGGAGGCAGATGGGCAAGTAGCACACAGCCCGATTTGTTCTGAAATAAGGGCTAAAAGAGCTCCAGATAATCCCAGAACCTGCTGAGGTTTGGGATACAGCAGGAAGTGACACAGGGATGGGAATTTGAATGGGAACCTGTACCTGGTTGGAGGGGTGAGGCTGTAACAGAGAGGGCTCTTTGCTTTTAGCTGATGAGGAGGAGGAAGAGGATGAGGAAGAGGTGGGTGTGTCTGGCAGTGCCTGGCTGGCTGACAGCACTCTGCAGTGGGACTGGGCTGTGTGCCCAGCTCTGGTCTGGGAAGGGGTGTCAAACAAGGAGCAGTCTGGGGAGAAGGGAAGCAGAGCTGGCACAGAACTACCCCAAGGTGCAGTATTTCAGTGTCCTCTCTGCACTGTGCAGAGCTTCTCCTTGGCAAGTCAGTTTTATATTCCTTAACTCACTGCCAGGGACTGTCTCAGTTGGAAATGCCTTATCCTGATGGGGGGGGAAGCTCATACTCCTGTTGCCTGTGGTCTACACAGAGGCATCCCAATTTTCAGGCTGGCCTGCTCCAGGTATTTTTCCCCGTGTGTCCTCCCCACTTCGTTGCTGTGTTTCAAGTAATTGCTGCAAATCCAGGCAGGATTTGGAGGACAAACAAATGGAGCAGCAGAGGGGTCAGCGCTGCAGGGACAACCGTGAACTGCTGAGCCAGCTCAGCCCCAAAAGACAGAAGATGTGGAGATGCAGCTGGGCTGCCTTTACCACCCTGCGGCCCCCCCTTGGCATCCTGCCCCTCCAGATCCCAGCCCTTCCCTTTGGATTGGAGCGCCCTCTCCCCCCCTCCCTGCTCTCCATCTTCATGCAGTCTGCAGAGGTGCATTGTGGGAAACTCCCAAGTTTCCCCCCCCCTCTCTGCCTGCCTCCCTCCCTCCTCTCTGCGCAAGAGCCAGCTCCCAAGGTGTGACTCGTCCGGCCGGAGGACAGAGGTAAGGGATGCCGCTGGGATATGGGGCGCGGGATGGAAGAGCCGGGGATCCCGGCTCCGGGACGTGCGGATGTCCTGCGCAGGGTGACAAAGAGAAATGCAGACGTGGAGCGTGGAGAAACGCGACCTGCCCAAGGTGAGTGTGCACCTCCTGCAGCCGCCCGGGATGCAGGCCGGGGGCTGCCACACCGGCTGCCTCTGGAGCCGGCACCCCACAGCTTTCCCCGTAAGAGGCAGAAAGTGCCTTTTGGACCCCAGACAAGGAGCACGGTGAGGATGGCCGGCCCCGAGGGGCTCCCTGCCCGTCCCAGCTCCCATGTTTTGCTCCCTGAAGGTCAGGCAGCCACGGAAAATGTTTCTGCTAATGCACGGGTGCCTCCTGCCCGCTTCCTGCCCGCAGCTTCCTGCTGCCTGCACGTACCTGCAGCCTCCGCCGCCTTTGCGGGCTGTGCCGCCCAGCCCGAGCGGAGCCTTTCCGCCCGATCCGAGCCGGGCCGGGCCAAGGAGAGGCCCTGGATGCCGCAGCAGCGCTCCGGAGGCAGGAGGGCGCCGGGCACGGGGAAGCGGAGCCGGCCATGTGCCGGAAACAGGGCTGCTGGGAGGGAGGAGGGGAAGCAGCATCCCGGGCTAAGCCCCTCCAGCCTTGGCAGCAGAGCTGCTGCGCCTCCCTGGAAGGTTTTGAGCGGTTTTCCAGCTGCTTTCCCTCTCCCATCTGTATGGACGGTGGGATTTCTTTGCCTTTTGCTCTGCCTGGATGGATTGAATGACTCTTATTTAATTCTGTCGGTCCTGAGGCAGGAGGGAAGCAGGAACAGCCGGCAGCTTGGTTTAGTCTTCACCTTTTCCCAGGAAAGGAGGTTTTGTTGGGCACGGAGAGTTTGATATCAATTAGGGGGTGTATCCTTTGATTTGACCCTGGGCTTGTGCTAGAGAGGAGCTCACAAAGGGAAATCTGCCCCCAAAAAAACCCAACAGAGAGAAAAATGGCAGAAGCAATAGTGCCTGTTTTAAGGGAGAATATTGCAGTGAAGGAGCGGGAGAGGGGTGGATACCAGACCAGGCCTCCTGAGTCACGGTGGGGGCTTCCAGGGAGGGAAAGCTTTGGGAATGTCTCAGGCTCTTCAGTCTGATGTCCCTGCTCTCTGCACATCCATGTGCATCCCTGTGATGTGTTCTGGCAGGGACCTGTTGATTTGATCCTGCTTACTTCTCTGTCCCTCTGGTGGCTTCTGGGAAGGTGCAAAGGGGAAAAGAAGAGGATTTAAAAAATTGAATAGAGGTCAGGCTGGCAGAACTTGGGCATTGGGACAAGAGGAGGAAACCTCCCAGCCGCAGCCCCGTTTTCCTGGGTGGGGCTTGGGCAGGATGCCGTCAGGAGAGGGAGGATGGACTATGCCGGATTAAGCTCCCTGCTTCGTTTCAGGACTGACCTCCAAAAGTCTGACCTTCACAGGTTTGACCTTCAGTGTTTTCCATCCGTCCTTTCTCAGCCACGGTGCCCAACACCAACATCTAACCCTGTGATATTGTGGTGGGGTGGGGGAAGAAATCCCAATTCTCCCCTAAAAGTGCATTTTCATCCCACTGCATCTGTCCCCTCCCCTGGCAGGCTGCTGGGATGTGGGGCTGGAGAACACCCTGGCGCATCATCCCCATCCTGGATCAGGTGTTGGGGCTGGCAGACGGGGCGGAGGGGGGGATGGAGCTCCCTGAGCAGGGATTTCCATGCTCAAGGAGATTTGGCCATCCTTTCCCAGATGCTTTCCAGCTTTTTGCTGGGAAGGAGAGTGCCCTGGTGTTGCTGCACAAGGTAAAGGATGGGTTTTACCCCAGAGTGTGGGAGCCTCCCTGGAAGGGCTCTGCCTTGTGTGGAATTGGCCCCTTGTCTGCCTGCAGTGGCTTCTTAGATTTCAGCTGCAGAGCAACAGTTTTCAGGCTGATGTCTGCAAATCCAGGGGCTGCCAGGTTCCAGACCCAGCTCTGCATGTGAGGAATTGCTTCCAGAATCTTTCTGCTGGCCCCAGCTGAGCCACAAAGGGGGTGATGCTGCATCAGGCAGAAGGGATGGATTTAGGATGCCCATAAAGTGGGGAGGGAAGTTGAATTTGCTGCTGCTTCCTGCAGTGGTTGGGGCTATTTCACTGTGTCACATATATCTCTCATCTATTTTTGCTTGTGGTTATTGAATTTGGGATACAGGACTGGGAGGAAGACACCTTAATAGCAAAATCTGTGAGAAAGGGAGTCAGCCTTCTGAAGCTGGGGACTGGCTCATGGTTACTTGGGGAGCAGCACCTAAATTTGGAAGGATCTGCCCTCTTCCCAAAGACTTTTCCCAAGTGCTAGCAGACCCGGGGTAAGGAGCAGGGCTTTGTGGTGGGAAGGAATGAGTGTTCACCATTTTACAAGAGTCAGAGAATGTTTGCTGGCCTTGTCACATTATCCCTGAGCTGGCACCGTGGATCCAGAGCTGAGCAGGGAACCAAGACAAGCCCCATGGCCCCAGCCAGGGTGTTGCTGGAATTAAATTTTTGGCTCTGGGAGGGCTGGAAAAACATTATAAAGAAATTAACTGAGTGTGTCTGCAAAAGTCAAAACATGAGGAGTTGCCCAGGGTAGGGTTCAGGATGTACCCAGTTCCTGTGAGTTGTCACACTGATGGGTTAAGGCTCCAGGATTCCTGTTGCTGCAGTGTCTCCAAAAGTGTTCCCCATTATTGCTCCAGTGCTTTGATCCAGTGTCCTGACAAATAGCTGCCATGGAAAAAAAAAAGTCATCCTGGTTTAGAAGCCTTTCCTTTGTGCCCTGAATTTCTGTCTCAGACTGAGTGATGCCCAGCCCTGCCAGGGAGAGGCTCAAGATCTAACACCTCGTGGTTTTTGAACGGTAAAAGCTACAGTTTTCCTCTGCTACAAAAAAAAGGAACTATTGAGAGGAAAAGAGAAATCAATTTTGTGTCTGACGGGGGTTCAAACCCAAGATTAAAGTGAGATTAGCACAGCGAATTGAGGTGCTCTGAACTCTGCTTTAGAGGCTTGGGGGACTTTGTTGAGACCCTGCGGAACCAGGCTTTGCAGCAGGGTATTTCCAACCCAGCCTCAGCAATGTATTTCCAGGTTCTGTTGAATTCTAGAAATGATTTTGCTGTAAGATGTGTCTGGGAGTGCAAACTGTATGGGGGAGGCTGGTGGCACTTGAGGGGCCTTGCTAGGTGTGACTTCTCTTGCTGACAGCAGGCCAGGACTGTGCCAGCTGTGACTCAGTGCCCACCCCTAGGGAGTCAGTCGGAGCACGTGGCTGCAGACAAAATCTTTTCTCTCCCACGACTGCTTGGCAGTGCCTGGTTTTTGCTGTGCACGTGGCTGTGTACAAACAGGGTGTCTTACCAGGGTAGGTTGGAGCATTGTTTTGGGTTAAACCCCTCCAAAAATGCACAGGTTGAGCCCCTGGCAGGAGTGTGGTGTGTCTGCAATGCTGCCTCCATCTCTGAGATAATAAAATGTCTGCCACGTCCATCCCAGGAGCTCTTTGGGGACAGGATGTGTGTGGCTTGCAGAGGTGACACTCAGCTCAGAGCTTGTCATCTGCAGAGGTTGTGGTCTAGAAAAAGACCATATATGTCCTGCTCCTGGGCTCTTTCTGGTGGGGAGGCTGAAGTGCTGTGTCACCTGTGTGGGCAGCATGGCTGGGCAGGCTCCGGAGAGAACACTGGCAACGGTGTCACACCTCTGTGCAGCTGGTGGCCCAGGGTCTGCATTCCAGAGCCCTTCCCTTTGCAAATGGAGGACAAAGCTGCCTTTGCTGGGCTACAGGAACCCATCCTGTTCCCACACCTCACCTTGGTGCCAGGTACAATGCAATCTCTGAGTGTGGATGCCTTGCCAAGCCTGGAGAGAGGGGATGTGGCTTGGTGTCGCTGGGAATGAGAAGGGGGGTCCTGGCCATACTCTGGGGGCTGTGGGGGTGGCAGGTACAGATTTCTGGTCACTGCCAGCACCAGCTGGATGAGTGAGGAGCATGCTGGGGTTCAGAGCAGCTGCAGGAATTGCCGCAGCCATGGAGCAGAGGCTTGGCTGGCAGATCTCCCCCCGTGGCAGCGATTTGAGGCTGCTGCCACTGCTAAACTACTTCCAGCATCTGACACCCTCCATAACAAGATTCAAAGGGCTTGTTTGAGAGAGAAATGTTTAATCCAGGGGTGGGGGGAGGGATATGGGGAGTAACAAACAACAGATTGGGAAAAGGATTCATAAATATCTCATCAGAGTGAAGTGGGTCACCAGTGTTTGCTGTGACTTGGTGCTGCTGTCTCTGAGGGCTGGATTTGGGAGGGCTGGGAAGCACAGCAGGCTCCTGTACAGTCTGTCCCTGGTTGTGCAGCACCGAGGCCGTTCAGAAGCATCTGTGACAAGTGACTCTGCTGGCGTGGGGTTTGCGTTGCGTTGTGTCACGTTTGCCGTGCATTGCGTCAGGAGCTGGGGGCTGAAATAGCCTGGAAGGGAGCTAAAAATCCTCCTTGGGGAGCTGCTCATGGCAGCTGAGAGAACACAAGCTCCTTATGTAAAGCTGCCTTAATATTTATGGTAATATCAGAGGCGGTGCATTACCTCACCCATCTTTGCTGCCCTTCTTGGGCCATGGGGAAAGGCTTAGTCACTACTCTGCCGACCTTCACCTGGGTGCTTGCTTGGCATCTACCTGCCTTTAATTCATTTATTCCCCCAGCAGCTGGGAAAAAGGGAGAAATGCTGCTTTTCCCCATTGGGAATGGGGGGTTGAAGCACCGGGAATGCTGCTCAGTTGCAGGAGGGGACTGGACACAAATCCCTCCAGGCCTGACAGATCACTCTATGTGTGACAGAGGGGACAGTCCCAAAGGACAGGGTGGTTCAAGCTGCATTCCTTAGGGATTAGACGAGAAGGTGGAGGAGAGTGGGATGGTGAGAGTGCTGGGAAATGAGCTCCCTCTGCTGCACCAGAGCCACCTTTGGTGCCGGCTGGTGTTTCCTTAGGGAGAGCAGGGGTCTGTCTGTCCTGTGCATGAGGGGATGAGTGCCTTTCTTCCAGACAGGCAGGAGTGACAAAGAAGGGAAGAGGAGATTAGGGGATGAGGGGGAGGGTTTGAAGATAAAGTGTTTTGTGTCATCTCTGGCTTTTTCTGCACAGCATTGCTCCTGGTCAGATATGGTCAGTAGCTATTTTCAAGATGTATGTTTCCAACTGGAGGACACTTGGAGTCTAGGGATGGACCTTTGTTTCAGGATAAATCCTGATGCACAGCCCCACCGTGTTGTTAAATCCTTCCTTGCTGCCAGTTCAGTGTGGCAGTCAAGGACCTGATGGAAATGCCTTGTTTTTCATGGCAGAGGAAAAAACCCTGTGGATGAGCTTCCCACTGCACCCCAGACCCTGGAGCAGCTCCTCCATCTTGCAAAGTGCCTGACTTTTCCTTGCAAATGGAAGCAGTAGGGGAGGACAAGAGGATTTGGAGATGGGATGGGGCTGGTGTCTGCAGAGGGAAGGGGCCATCCTGATGGAGCTGTGCTGTGTCACAGATTTGGAGATGGGATAGGGCTGGTGTCTGCAGAGGGAAGGGGCCATCCTGATGGAGCTGTGCTGTGGCAGAGCTTAGCAATGACTCATCCGCTGCGCTCGGTGCAGGATTGATGCAGCTTTCATCTGTGCAAAGAGGAGACAGATGAATAGATGTGTTTGGTGATTTGCTGGGATTTGAGGCAGGAAAAGTGCCCTTCAGGGAGCAAGGGAAGCTGTTCCTCTGCTGGCCTGTTGCTCTGCCGGAGGGCAGCTTGTTGCGCTGGGTGAATCCGACTGCACTGACCTTGAGAGCATCCCAAGGGAGCTGTGGCATTTGTGTGCCAGTCTTTGCAGTAGCAGCAGCAATTTGGAAGGCTTTCCTTTTCCTCCTTTATCATCCCTGGTTTTATTATGCCAGCTCCCTCTTCCCAGCCTGGGAAAGAGCTGGTTAGTTGCTGGCAATGAGACCCTTCCAGAAAGGGCACTGATTGTTAAACAGAAATAGCATGGAGCGGGGAAAAGGGAGAGAATGAAGCCTGTCTCCCACAAAATCTTACTCCCAATTGCTGCTGCCTGTGTGTGTAGGAGGCAGAGAGGGAGCTGGAAGGGGGAGGAATGGGTAGACAGGCAAAGACAGCAGCTGACAAGAGAAAAGGGAGGAATAAAAAGATGTGAGGAGCTATAAAGAAGAAAGCAAAGGTAGGAAAATGTGTCATTAGAGAAAAACTTGGTGTGATGGAATGAGGGAAGAGGAAGAGACAAAGGAATGGAGGGAACCCTTATATGCAGGCTTAATTTTTTGAAGTGAGGAAAGCACCTCTTTCTTCAGTCTGGAGGAGACGGAGGTGCTTAAAGATGAGCCCATGGCCATACCCTTGGAAGTACAGGATGGAGAGGAGAGATGATTCCCAAGGTAGGGAGCTAGGAGCTCACAGAAGTGGGCTAAGTACTGGGATGGAAGAGGATGTGCTGCTAAG